GCCTGTTTTTCCCTGTGGTTGACCAGTTTAATGTCCGATTCTTTGGTAATCACATTGACATTACCAAGGGATGGCAACGATGTTTCGATTGCAAACTCGACATTGGGAAAAAATTATATTGAAATTTGCTTTGCTGAATCTCTTTTATTCAAAGATTGTACATCTTTCTCTAAACTTTTCACTGTGCTCTCGAATTCTGTAAATGATATAAAAAATTGAAAATCTGATGCATGCTGTTTAATAACATCAACTTATCCCTGCAGTTTTGCAACATTTGTTTTTGATACTTCGAACTCTTTTATCATTTCTTCAATTGCCTGTACATTTTCTCCGTGTAAAACTTCTATTTCGGTTTTAAGTTTTATTTCAAGTTTATCAAGATGAGCAATGACGTTTCGTTTGGTATCTGCGATTTCTTTCAAACAATTATCATTCTCATCGGCAAGTAGCGATATATTATCAAATCGGCCTTTAACAAAAGAATTTAAGTTGTTGAGGAAATCTGATAGTGTTTGATGAAAGTCGTAAAGCGTAAGAACTAGGTTTTAAATATCACTCGTTATTGTTCAGTTTCACAATAATATATTGGTGTCATACGTCCTGAAATAATACACTTTAAACACTCTTTAGTTCCGTTGTCTTACCTTGTGCGACAAATTCAAAATCCCAAAAGACAATGATTATATATATGTACACAATATCAGTTCTAAAAGCAACAAACAAATAAAATTTTTAACATGAAATATCCTCTCAATTCGATTTACATGTAATAGTTGCCACTGAACGGTAACCACCAAGCCATCATCACCATTAACCAATGATAAATGGTTGAACATTAGAATATACCTTAGCAGATATAAAACATATATAGCTAGATGTACCTGTCTAAATTTAAGAGAGAGAGAGAGAGAGAATTTCCATTTGCCCGTTTGCTGAATGTTCTAGAGGTGCATGTATCTAGATGTATCATGATTATTTAACTTTTGACTAATAAGACCGAATCTTATAGAGTATATTTATCTACAATAGAATTTTGTCGATATAAAAAACTTTGTTAATGTCACCGGATATATTTATCCATTTTGTTCATTATAAAGCATTTCATATTATTTGTGTTTTCAGTGTTGTATGTTTCCCATTCATATCATATTCATATTTCATATTCTTGATTCTTGACGATTGACGAAAATAGTTTTGCGCTGCGTATTTTGAAAAAAACTATAGCTTTGTACGCTATGTTTTGCTTTGCGTACCGAATATTTAAATTAGTACAATAGAAAGGTAAAGCGATTCTTTATTATTATGTAAATGATATATATTTATATTCAAATAGCATGCGTTATGCATGAGCTCAAAGCGCGGCAATACTAACCATATATATATTAATACAATTTCACTTTTCGAGTTAGTCACTGGTCATTATTACAATCGGGGAGGCGGCAGACTAAAGTCACCGCTGCAGGTACTGGTAATTTATTTATTCTTTTAGCTATGTTTAAAATGTTTCAATTAAAGTAAAGTTACTTTAGTATTTCATATATAGAATTCAGTATGGCTTGAAAGCCGCATTTTGGTATGTAAGTTAAAGTCAGAATAAAGCTCCGTTGCATGCAAATATTTCAGTCATATATATTGTTCATATTTATTGGAACATAATTGTAAACTTGGTTTACAATTTGTTTACTTGCAAATTATATAATAAAGTATATATAAATTGGACGACTCATTTAATGCAGAAATGGCCCACACGCATTACCACGACAAGTTTATGGGTTTATGGTGACTTATTCCTCATCCCAAGTCGATGTATTATTGCTGCGACATAAAAAAAACTATATTAGCTCTAGAATTATATAAATGAATGGATCTGTGTGAGGTTATTAATTAATTTTAGATATGTAAAAGAGAGCCGAAAGATGCCAGAGGGACATTCAAACTCATAAGTCGAAGATAAACTGACAACACCATGGCTAAAAAAGAAAAAAACCAACAGAAAAACAATAGTACACAAAACACAACATAGAAAAAAAAAGACTGAGCAACACGAACCCAACCAAAAACTGGGGGTGATCTCAGGTGCTCCGGAAGGGTAAGCAGATATTGCTCCAAATGTGGCATCCGTCGTGTTTTTCGTGTTAGTAAAAATCCGGTGATAAGTCTAATTCGGTAGGTCACATTCGGGAAAAGGGTACGGGATTGTAGTAACGTCATTAGGAACATATCCGCTACCATGCATGAAACAAGTTTTGGTGACCCTAAAACCTTGATATGTGGACAGAAATCAGACTGACAACGAAGGAAAATTATATCTTAATTGTCTACCGACTCCAAGTTTACTGAAATCCTTTGCATCTGCTTTTATGGAGCTGTTGGGGGGATTTTCCCCATTTCTCCATGCAGACTTCAGAGCATAGTCATTTTTCATTTACATTTAATATTTCCATATACTAAATGATCTTTATAGACTATTATCTATTTTGAAGAAACATTTTGTCCAGTCAACTCGGCAAATTGAGTACTCGGTCTATTTGTATACTACTTCGAAAGCTTGCCAGTCAGCTTATATGTTCAGTTACTAGTTTAACTGCACCAGTTGTATTAATTGTATCTTCAATGAATCATTGTGTCATTCTACCATACACAAATGAAAAAGGAAGACCCATTCAATGTCTTTCAATATATATATATATGGTGAATATTATTGATTTCAAATGCAATAAGGCAATGATAAGTTTAACAATGTTTCAGAAAGTAAAATTCCATCTTGAATAAAATATTTTAAAGACAAATCCCTCTATTGTATATGTGCACATACAGCAAGTATTATATCGTCAACAGTTTGTGACGTCGCGGTTTTCGCGAACTGAAAACGTTTATGAGAATTATTCCTGTTTAATCTGATAAAGGAGAATGGGAATCGTTTAACGAGGTTGATTTGCCGAGAAGAAAATGAAATTGTCCTCAGATTATTGACGTGTTCCTAAGTTGAAGAAGACTGTTTTGCTTGTTTCGTTTTTGGGAAAGAACAGAACAATTAAGGAAACATAAAAATATGCATATAAAAAGAATACATTGCATAAGGCAAACAAACAAATGTCTCCATAGGATAATTTAGCCTGTAAAGGCTATGATTTTATTATTATTAGAAAAAAAATATGTGTGCTTTGAATTTATACAAAAAACAGATTCCAGCAGTCAGTACTATAAAACTTTTACTGAATTCATATATCAGACTGGTAACTTCATACATACATTTTTTGCAAATATACTTTATATAATCTTGAATGTTGTAATAAATAACTACTAAACTTTACATTTATAGTATTCTGAAATGATTTCAATTTATTATCAGAATAGTTTCAGACAGGTACTAGGCATTTTATGTCAGAAAACATGCACATATGGTAAGCTGACATTAACGATCAGTTTTAATCGTAAGATTATTTGTGAAAAGAGCCGCTGGATGCTTATAGGCCTAACTGTCCTATTTTCTCTTCTTACTTTCACTTGGATTTCGCGGGCAGTACGTCGACTGAGCATCCGCGAAAGCGTATAAGACACGGATCGATAACGGTCTCCGAATTTGGATATTTTCTCAAAAATTGGCGTTTTCTGTGGAAAAAAGATTTTTTCAAAGAGAAATTTAGGAAGTACAAAACACTACATTTATACGTCATATCACAAATATTTCCGTCTTTGTATGGTTTCAGGGGAGTTGCGGCTCAATGAAATCGGTCTCTTCCTTTAGTAGTATAGATTCTAAAAGATTACCATTTCAACACTGTAATAAGATCTTCGAATATTGCTTTTATTGGTACTAATATTGAATTTGTTAGCACTAAATCAAAATCAAACTAGATATAATTTGATAAACATATGTAAAATCATGTCTCTACAATATGCCGATACCTTTATCTTGGCATTGCACAAGGTCGTGTTTTTCTCTGACTGTTAATGACGTCTTTACACTAAATTCATTGAATGTTGGATGTGTACTGATTAATACTTTAGTGTTAGATGCATGATTTTTTTATTAGTTGTTATTAGCTTGGAACTAGCTGTCAGTAACTGCGAATACTTTCAGAGCTTTACCTTTGTTCTAGGGATGAATAAGTACTTTGCAACGTCCACTCTGTGTTTTTGATAGATGTATTTTATTTGTATCCATCTGATGAGTTAAGACTTTTTCAACTGATTTTTATAGTTTGTTTTTATGTCGTACTGTTACACCACTGTCCCAGGTTAGGGGAGGGTTAGGTGCAAGAAAACATGTTTAACCCCGTCACATTCTTTAAGTGACAGCTTATAGTTTAATGGTTGTCGTGGTTCATGTCTGTCATGTCAGTCATATTTGTTTTTCGTTAATTGTTTCGTAATAAATAAGCCGTTAGTTTTCCTAATTGATTTTTTTTTTATATTTTCATGTCGGGTCCTTTTATAGCCGGTATAGGGTTTTCTCATTGTTGTAGGCCGTACGGTTGCCTATAATTGCTTACATCCACTTCATTTCAATTTGGGCGGATATATTTATCCCATTGGCAATCATACCACATCTTTTGTTTTTAATGAAAATTGTAAAATAGTGAAAAGAGTGATATAGTGATATAGTTATCGCCATTCCAAAGTTTCTGAAGAATTACATCATGGAGATTAACTTAAAAATCTAGCTGCATATATTATTCAGACGAAGATGAATGAAATTAAAGAAGCAAAAGAGGGCAATCGAAACTTAAAATCAACGAATGGTAGACAATGTCATGGTGGATAGAGTGAACAAACCAAGAATTGACAAACAGCAGTCCTCACAATACCTGACAGAAAAGATAAAGCAACATGATAAGATATTAAAAAATATCTATAGTGGTCAACGCTTGGAGTATGATTACTCGGTTTCATGGAAATGATATAAATACGTGTAAGTTGAAACATACAGACATGCGGGAAAATTATTATTTATATTTTACAATACGAAAACAAATATTGTTTATTTTTCTACTATATTTTCACTAAAATATATTCATTTCATTAGGAAGAATAATCAGGTTCCAGGTGTTACATGAAATTACAATATAACACGACTAATTGCAATTACTACTGTCTAATAACTGACGTCAAATAAAGATACTTTGCCATTTTCAGTCGATACCAACAGTTGCTGCTTACTAGAATCATAACTGATTGCCCTAGCACGAGATAGATTACTGTTGCAGTACAATTCTTTAAATTCATTTCCAGTACTCGATAGTGCATATATATTATTTGATTGAAATCCTGTGATAAACAAAATGTTTTTGTCATTACATGCTACACCCAACGGTGTTTTTAATTTCTTGTCTTTAAATTCATAAATTTCATTCCCTTTCAAATCGCAACAAACGATCCGATCTTTTGAATGTTGTGAAAAATATATTTTTTCATTCAGTAACACTGCAAATAAAATATTGGTGTCTGTATAAGGTGTTTTACTCAGGATGTTCCCTTCAATATCGGTTATATAAAATCCAATATGAAAAACTGTTATAAGGAATTGGCTTTTCCTAAACGAGAAAGCATTTATTGCCTTGCCTTTCACTACAAAGGATCGATCAACTGCAGAATTTGTCATGTTTATTATATGGATCTTACAATTGCTATCGTCCACTGCAATTTCGTTACCTGTAATAAATGCAATATAATTTGGCTTGAATGATAATTGTACATCCCTTTCATGGTCACCGTTATCTTTGAAAATAATTAAGCGTTTGTTCAATTCATCCGAAATAGCAAGTCGTCCAGGTGATAGAAAGCAATTATCCCATATAGTAAGCTTGCTATCCTCTCCACTTTGAAACTGTACACTTTCAAACACAGGTTTAAGTTGTATTTTGTCAATACAAGGCGTTACAATTGCCAGAAGTTGTGCTTGTTTCCCCCTGTGGTTGATCAGTTTAATATCCGATTCTTTTGTGATCACATTTACATTACCAAGGGAGGGCAACAACGTTTCGATCGCAAGCTCGACTTTGGTAGAAAACGATATTGAAATTTGCCTTGCTGAATCTCTTTCAATCAAAGATTGTACATCTTTTTCTAAACTCTTCACTGTGCTCTCGAATTCTCTAAATGCTATGAACAATTGGAAATCTGATGCATACTGTTTAATAATATCCGCTTCTTCTTGCACTTTTGCAACATTTGTTTTTAATACTTCGAACTTTTTTATCGTTTCGTCAATTGCCTGCAAATGTTCTTCGTGTAAAACTTCTATTTCGGTTTTAAGTTTTATTTCAAGTTTATCAAGATGAGCAATGACGTTCCGTTTGGTATCTGCGATTTCTTTCAAACATTTTTCCTTCTCGTCGGCAAGAAGCGATATATTATCAAATCGGCCTTTTATTAAAGAATTTAAGTTGTTGAGCAAATCTGATAATGTTTGATGAAAGTCGGAAAGCGAATTTGAGGTTTTGAAATGTTCAACAACTTTATGCATTGGAGATAAATGTCGGCATTCTAAATGGGTTGTTTTCATGCATTCAACACAGCAGGGTAATTCATGCTGACTACAATAATATTCAAATCTTGCTTCATGATCAGGACAGTCATTCTTTATGTCTTTTACAGCAGGAGGTAATTTATCAAAAGATTCGACAGGAATAGTTTCATGAGTTTTACTAAGTTTGGCAGCGGAATGGTGAGATTTGCATGATTCACAGAGACTTTGTTCACATTCTGGACACCAGTCAGTGGCAAATACTGTTATTTCTCTGGCTTCGCAAATATCACATAACCTTCCATAGGCCGCCATGCTGAAATAAAATGAAATTTAAAGTTTAATGAATCTCCTTAAGGTACATAGGTTGAAAGAACAAACACATTCATAAGTCAAGGCGAAAAGAAAAACACCATAGCAAGAACGAAAAACTGACAACAAAACACTACAAGACTGAGCAAAATTAGCCTCATCAACAACGGGTAATGATCTAGTGTGTCCCAGAAGGGTAAACAGATCTTGCTTCATATGTTGCACTCCGTCGTGGTTTATTTTGTACCAGGGCTACGATCTTATGTCATTTCAAGTGCCAGGAGTGATCGTTTAAAGGGGCATTAGCTGTCAAACTCATATTAATCGATTTGACTCAAATTCTTATATTTGAATTACAACAAACTTAAACGTATATCCAAATACCAAGAAAAGTTTAAAATTAACAATTAGCAATGCATGGACTCGATTATATGTATCAGCATTCCGTGTGTATTTTAGTCTAGACGCCATCGAATTAACCATCAGTATCACCTCTAATGATTTTCGACGATCAAATGACCGGGTATAAACATGAACATAAATATAAATAAATAGCGAGCAATTGGATTTTTGTGGTATATTTAATTTCATATTATAGGTTGAATAAACTGTTGAAACAGAGATATGCCTCGCGTTTTGTCATGTTTGTAATTCTGATGGTAATAATGCAAGGATGAAATTAAAATGGCAATATTTAAACATGTAAATATGCAAATTATTCAAAGTCAATGTACCATGACTGAAGGTGCAGGACCAATTAACCTCCATGGAAATGTGAAATGACAATGCTAATCAAAGTGGTTCCCTTTAAACTAACCTAAAGACAAACATAATCTGTAAACTATGTAAAAGTTTCAACATAAATGAACCATGATAAAGGGGTGGGGCCATATAATCTCCATGGAAATGAGACTTGCAAATGCCAATACAACTGCATACCAAATATCATTGACTTAACATTAGCCGTTCATCTTAAACTTACATGTATCTAATCACAAACTGTAAATAATGCAAAATCATTTAAAGTAAATGAACCATGACCCATGACCAAAAACGGGGGTGGGGGCATGGGAGAGCCAAACAATCTCAATGGACATGAGATGTGCCAATGCTAATACATCTGCATACTAAACATCATTGACCTACCAATAATAGTTCCCCTTAAACTGACCTTATCACAAACTGATACATGTAAACTAAGCAAAAGTTTAAAAGTCAACAGACCATGGAAAGAGATGTGCCAATGCTTATACAAAGTTCTGCATACCAAATATCATTCACCTACCAATAGCTGACCACGCCTAGTATATGTGTAACCGATCTTTAGCTAAGCGGTTTTGCTGAAGATCACATGAATACAGATTCAATGAGGCTACACATGTTACATTATTCACTTGCAAGTCAATAATATATCAATAGTTTAGAATTATACGTTTACACTAACTTATTTGATGGTTTAAATGTATCAATACTGGACACTTCGTGAAAAGAAACATACATTTTCAAGAAAATGTCATTTTAAGTGTAAATCAACAATTTATTTTATGAAGTTTACAAAAATAACATCACATGTGGAATAACAACCGTTTTTTGTTAAGACAAATGCAGACGGACAGGCGATACCTGAATACTGCAACAACAAATGATTGCAGGATATAACATTTTGTTAAATAAAAAAATAAAAAAACTTATACATTTGTACAAATGAAAGCGAATTTACCCTTTTTAATGTTAAGATATCCTTAACGGGCTTCCGTATACAAAACACACGTCGATCAATAAAAATATGCAAACATCAACTTTAGAACATATGTCATGATGACACGTTACTGGTATCTTATCGTGTTTAAGAACCAGGTTTATCCCTTGTAAATACGTTGTTATAATATTGTCATTATAATAATAATTCAACCATTAGAAATAGTTACAAACATATTAATGGACCTAAATATCAAACAGAAAGTAGATCAAAACAATAGATGATTGAACAATATTTAAAATATCACTCTTTAGTGTGTACAGATGAACAATAATTGATTGGTCTATTACGTCTTGCAATAATACACTTTAAACACTCTTTAGTTCCGTTGTCTTACCTTGTGTTACCCCTTCCGGTTTAGTTTACTAACAAGTCTGCTCGGACTGTGAAATATCAACAAATTGTCGTCACAGTCACATGATTGAACAAAACGAAATGTATATGGAAATCTAGATTAACAAAATCGTTTCGTCTTCTGCTCGGATTTCTTATTTCGTACAACAGACCCGTGAAATCAACCTGAATCTTGTGTATTTTGGTAATATATGAGCCTCAGATTTTATCTTTGTTACTACATATTTATTAGGAATTCATTTCAAAGCAGTGGATGTTTGAATGTAATTAAGACTGAAGCATTCGGTATTTTTAAAAAGTGTTTTTTTCAATTTTCAATTCCGGACTTTTGAAAAACGCAGTTATCGGTCCTGAACTGAATTATAAAAATTGAGGACAATGATGTGAACACAGGTGTTTGCTTTATTCATGACATTCATGTACATTCTTTTTTTTTATAAGTTGGTCACTAATGGTGTTTTTTTCAAGTCCCCGCAATACATTCATAACTACATTACCACAAAGAATAAAAATTGGGAATGTGTCAAAGAAGCATGTATATTTAGTTAATTTTTACACATATTTGCTTCTAGTTATTCACTCTCAGAAGAAGCTACTGCGGAGAATAATGCAACAATTCAATAAGAAATATCATATGATGCTGATGAAGAAAGGTAATGATTTTTTTAAAGCCATCAGAATAATGTGTAGTACATTTATGCCAGATTTGTCAGCATTTTTTAAGGGATTTTCAAATGCCTTATTATTAATTTTCAACAAACCGAATCACATGTTACAAATTTGTGTACAGTACATCTTTTAACAAAAAAAAAAATGGATGTATATACAGTGGTCTGGTGGTATATATTAAGGCCTTACTGTGAATAAGTTTCAATATAAAGATAATAAAATGTTACTTATTGTACAATTGCCCATGAGATAAGGCTCACGATCACACGACACAGCACCAAAATGACAGCATTAAAAAAATCAATAAAACTAACGGCCATACTTATATAATAAACAATACAGAAAAATATACTTTATACAGCAAGAAATAACAACCAATTAATTAAGACATGAACATATTATATAGTATGGGCTTTACCCTTGCTCCAAAATGATGTGCGTTATTAAAGCAGAAAAAAGCAAATACCACTTTAAGTCTTTAGTTTGACCTGCTGTACCATACTTCTGAGTGATGTAAATCCGTAAAAGGGATTGGGCAAGTACAATTTATAAAGTGTTATTTTTATTTTGCTGACATTAAACTAAGATTTTACTTAATATGTCTGCTTTTAGTAAGTTGAATTCATATGTAGATGGGATATTTTCACCTTGATATTACCTCAAAACAATGAGTTTGTTTTACATGTACCTCAATCATTCCTATATTTTTAGTCCCATTGATCCCTATCCTTCTTATTGGAAAAAGTATGAATTTGATCAAATTCTATCCGTTCCTGAAGGGAAACCACAGTACAAAAATAAGGTAACAGTAAACACATAAATTTGTTTCTGGAATATTAAACATTATATGGCAATCCATTTTACTTTTTATTCGAACTTCCAGGATATTCAATGAACTTTTAAAGATATTTCATATAGTTGATAAGATATCTTATATACTTTAAAAGATATCTATTATACTTTAGATGATATCTTAAAAATCTTAAAATTTTTTTAAGATATCTTATAAAAACTTTATTATATAAGATATCTGATATATTATATGAGATATCTTATATATTAAATGAGATAACTTGAAGTTAGAATAAAAAGTAAAACGGCTTGCCATAATTATAAAACCTTTTCATATCTATATATATTTTCAGATTTTCAAATGATTTAAACAAGGATGTGCAGATAGATACTACAGGATTGATCGACTTTGATGATAAGAGTACCCAAGCTTCTGTAAGCAGAACGTCTGTAACTGTTCAAGTTTGTCAGCCTGACATGACCATAGAAAATATAAAGAATTCTGATGAACAAAGAGTCTTTTACACTGGTCTTCCAAATTATAAAACATTAATTGCCTTATTTGAAAGTCTAAAATTAATTGGAGCAAACCGAACGAATGTTGATGACAACTGTATAATGGAAAAATGTTCAAATAGGAAACTACGACTAATAGATGAGTGTCTTATGGTACTTATGAGATTAAGGTTAGGTCTTTTGCTAAATGACCTAGAGTTCAGATTTAAAATATCTTCAAGTAGAATATCAAGAATATTCAATTCCTGGATCAATATATTGGAACAAGGATTAAAGTCACTAGTATATCTACCACCTCTTAGTGTGCTACAAGCAAATGTTCCTAAATGTTTTGCCAATTTCAAATACACAAGGATAGGACTTGATTGTACTGAAGTTTTTAGTCAGACCCCTTCTTCTTTGTAGAATCAATCTCAGCCCTATTCAAATTACAAGTCTCACAATACCTTCAAAGCATTAGTTGGAATTTGTATGACTAATGCTGTTGTGTTTGTTTCAAATTGTATGGGGGATCTGCTTCTGATGTTTACATTACAAGCAATAGTGGATTAATAGACATGCTAAACCAAGGATATGCTGTCATGGTCGATAAAGATTTTATTCATTTAAGATCAGATTTTAAAAACAAGGGGATTAAATTGTACTGTCCTCCATTCATGTCATCTTCTAGCAAGCAATTCACAAAGTGTGAAGTGGTATGAACCAGAAGAGTAGCCTCTGCAAGGATACACGTTGAGAGAAAGATGAAACAGATACAAAACTAGAGAATTATGCAAAGTGTGATGCCGAACAGTTTAAGTGGTATGGCTGATTCCATATTTTTTGTCTGCAGTGCTTTCACAAATCTACTACCACCATTAGTAAAGTGAACGAATTTGTGAATTTAGTGTCTATTAACAAATAACCATGGCAAAAATTATTGTAATTAAAAAAAGTTCATACATTGATTAATACGTTAAAATGTAGAAAGTCAATGCACTTACATGTATCAGGTTATAAGAATAAACATAAATGTTTGTGTTATGAAACTACTCTGATGTTTTCATATTAAATTGTTTGATATGATTAGGCTACTATGTACATAATTGAGTATTTTCTAAAATCATTGGAAATGTAAACAAATTAAGAAAATATATCTCAATACCAAATATAAAAAAGAAGATGTGGTATGCTTGCCAATAAAACTCTTCACAAGAGACCAAATGACACAGAAATTAACAACTGTAGGTCACCGTACGGCCTTCAACAACGAGCAAAGCCCATACCGCATAGTCAGCTATAAAACCATACATTTTTGTACTTCCTGTTTGCAACTGTCAAGAGTTGTCTCTCATGTTAATATACTATATTTTGGCAATAGTTCATTTGTTAATTAAGAGAAGAAAATTTTTATTAGGATTTTGAAGAAATAATTTTGCATATATTTCTTTGTCGTTTCTATAAAAACATAGTACTTCTCCCTTATTTTCATGGTAACGGATACAAATGGTAAGCAGATGGAAAAAAAATATCAACAAACATAATTTAACACCAACACATTAAAATATATATATGAAACAACATCAGCATATTAAATTACTTAAAACTCTTTAAAAATTAGAACTCTGAAAAATAAGAATTAGACCTCTGAAAAATAAGAATTAGAACTCTGAAAAATAAGAATTAGAACTCTGAAAAATTGTACATCACAGCAATGCATAAAATTCTCTAATTAGTATGAGAGCTACATGTTCTTCAAACTTGTAATAATTCACTGATCATGGTTTAATTTGCAGATTTGAAAATTAATGGTATCATATGTTCATTATAAAAGGTTGAAAGTTTTAATTCTGTTGCTTGCCAGTATTCTTGGTCAAGATCAACTTTCAATATGGAAAAGTCTTTCAACAAATAAATAACAAAATCACATCTCAAACACTCACAAATAGCCATTTGGCCTTGCATTTGCGAATAATAGCGATGGGAATTTTTAAGTTGAATTTCATTTTCACTATTAATTTCACATCAGATGTCTCGGTCCCGACAAGCTGCTCGTACTGTTTTGAATCGCCATTTGAAGGGACATTTAATTTCTAACACCCATGGCTGACATGCTTCAGATTTGTTTGTCACTATTCCATCAGGGCTTGCTCCTAGGTAACCAAATTTCTTACAGAGAAATATTCAACACTCGCGCACATTTACTTTTTCGTTATGTTTTTACTTTTTGTAGACTACATATTTCTTGCGAGCTATTGGTTCATGTTTACGAACCCAGCGTAAAGCAGGAGTGTCTATATATATTTATCTGTCTGTGTAAATTTAAGTAAAATTTTATCTTAATTTTCCTTCTTTCTTGTTACAACATCATGGAAATTTGAGCTTGTAAATGTGAATTTTCTTGCTGTTTGCCATAGATGGTTTTCTGATTGTCCAACTGTGTGTGTCTCAGTTTCATCACAATATCTCAATATCGTCCTAGACAGAGAGGTTAAACACTTTTTGATAAAAGGACCAAAATATCGTCCTCTCTAAAATAGATTTGAAACAGTGTCGTCAGGTCACAAAAGAAGCTCTTTCCTCGTATTGTAAACATTGGTGTAAACGGGGAAAATCTGATAAAGAGATTCTTATTTAAATAAATGTATGAATGTTGTCATGGTTGTGGATATTCGAATATCACATTTTGAAAATAATTCAGAAATAAATAAAAGAGTACATAATACTATTTCTAGAATAAGAAATAGACTTCAAGAACTTTCAAAGAGGTTTGTGTTTGTACCGGCCGACAAAGCAGCCAACAATGTGGTAGTGGTATGCCGTAAATTCTACACGGATGTTCTTTAGAATAAAGTTTTAAATTCATCTACATTCAAGTCCGTACGCTCCACAGAGAGTCATATAGTAAACAAACATATCATAACCACATCACAGCTTAATGCCTCTTCTGATCATTTGAAGGTCCCTACTATGTATTAGTTACCTAAACTACACGAAAAACCAGTAAAATATCGTTTCATCTCGGCCTCTAGTAAGTGTTCTACAACTAATCTTTCAGTGATTTTAACTAGTTTTTTAACTACTATCAAAGAACTTATAATTAACTTTTG